ATTACAGTAAAATATTCTGTATGTGACCACATTATGGTGATCCTTGGGTCGTGATGATGGAGCCCTTGAATATTGTTGCCCAGGGTACAACAAAGTGTTAATCTGGCCCTGGTTCCGCCGTCACATTCCCGCAGAAACTGGTTGATCACACCGGGGCCAGACTAGCATGTGGTTTTACAACCACAATGTCCTCAGAAGCAAAAACGCTTTTAAAAGGGAGGGAGGAGTCCTAACTGTTGCTGCAGGCGTGTTGTGTGAGAGTGCAGTTATATACTGGTTAATATATTTTTGGGTTCAGTTGCTTTCATGTGGCCTAATGTGAGTCTATTTGGGATCATTGGAATGATCAGCAGCATTTCTTGATGTGACTTTATGGCAGTTGCCCAGGGCATCATCGCAAGGAGGATGGCATTCATTTACTTTTGTTTTATTTGGTATTTTTTCAGTCATTTTTGGAAATAGTGATCAATTTTGATTAATTCACGGCCTATGTTTAATTACATTTAAAATAAATGTCAACAGATGAGATCAATCAAAACAGATGAGAATTGCCCTTAAGCTGTTTAACTTGGACCAAGCATTTTAGTTCACAGATAGATGTAGCTTAGGGTCTCTGTCTATACACCTTATAAGACAATTTAGGTGATGGCATGTTGTTTTTCTGCTATTGAACTGTTTTCTAATAATGTTGTGTTAAATAAAGTGAAGGAAGGAGAGAAATAACGTTTCCCTAGCAGTTTTTTAAAATTTCCCCATGTAATCCGATTAATCGATTAATCGTGTCGAGACCCCATCCGATTAATCGATTATCCAAATAATCGTTTGTTGCAGCCCTAGTCAGCACAAGGTCTAATGTATGATGGCAGGAGTGGGTGGAGCTATGTATTCTTTGAGTAAAACCAACTGAGTCTAAGATATTACTAAAGGCTACATTGAGGCTATTATTTTCAATGTCCACATGAATATTAAAATCCCCCACTACAATGACCTTATCAGTATTTAGCACCAAATCAGATAAAAAATCAGAGATCTGATCCAAAAACTCAGAGTAACGGCCTGGTGGACGATATAAAACTACAAACAAGAGTGGTTTTACAATTTTGCAATCTGGATTAGGAAAACTAAGAATAAGATGTTCGAACGAACTGTAGCTATTAATTGGTAAGGGACTGATTAATAAGTCTGAATGAAAAATGGTTGCTACTCCTCCTCCTCGCCCTGTACTTCGAGCAATATGATGATTTAAATAATTTGAAGGAGTCGACTCGTTTAAGCTAACATAGTCCTCTTGCTGCAGCCAGGATTCTGTGAGAGAGAGAGAGCAAAGAGATCTGATTATCACAAATCAAGTCATTAACTAACAAAGTCTTAGAAAAATGGATCTAATGTTCAACAACCCACATTTAATTTTTCTAGTTTTCTGCTCAGTTGAATTTGTTCTAATATTTGAGATTTCCAAGATTTGCTTTATTAAACCTGATATTTCATCTGTGTGGTTTTGGCCGTGGGCAGGACACTGTCTCTATGGGGTAGTGGGTGGGTAACAGTACAGAAGCTGCAGAGGGGTGGGTTAAACTATGACTCTGCTTCCTGGTCTGGACCCTGGGTTGTCATGGAGGACTAATAAAACTGGCCATGTTCCTAGAAAGAAGAGCTGCCCCATCCAAAGAGGGATGGATGCAGTCTCTCAGCATCAGACCAGGTTTTCCCCCAAAAGTTTTCCAATTATCAATGTAGCCCACGTTGTTTTCAGGACACCACCTAGACAACCAGCGGTTGAAAGACATCATGCGGCTAAACATGTCGTCACTGGTCCGATCAGGCAGGGGGCCAGAGAAAATTACGGAGTCCGACATTGTTTTGGCAAACTTGCACACCGAAGCAACATTAATTTTAGTGACCTCCGATTGGCGTAACCGGGTGTCGTTACCGCCAGCGTGAATAACAATCTTACTGTATTTACGCTTATCCTTAGCCAGCAGTTTCAGATAAGATTTAATGTCGCCCGCTCTGGCCCCAGGTAAACATTTAACTATGGTTGCTGGAGCCTCTAATGCCACGTTTCTGACTATGGAGCTGCCAATGATCAGAGTCAGCTTGTCAGTGGGTGCGTCACTGAGCGGGGAAAATCTATTAGAAACGTGGACGGATTGGTGGTGGCCCACGGGCTGGGTTCTATGCTTCCTGCGTACCGTCACCCAGCCGGCCTGAGGTCCCGGCTGCTCGGGTTCTGCTGGAGGATCGCTACAGGGTTGTTCTGAGCTAGTTAGCCTCATGCTAGCTAAGTAGCTACGGCTGTTTATGGGTTTTTCAACAGCGAGGAGCCGGGACTCCAATTCCGACACCCTCACCTCCAAAACTACAAAAATGCTACATTTGTTACACGTACCATTATCGCTAAAGGAGGCAGAGGAGTAACTAAACATCTGACACAGAGAGCAAGAGATAGGAGACGGAGAAGCAGAAACAGAAGTAGCCATAGCCGTGCTGAGGCTAAGCTAACTGGACGAGCAAACTGTTCAACACCAAATAAACTGCGTGCAAACTCAAATGGTTCCCTAAAAGCTAGGTGGAACAACAGAAAATGTGTGTTTTAGCGTGCTTATGTGCTACAATAACTCAAAGATAACCTAGTACAGATAAATTAAATCAGTTTTAGCGAGCCCCAAACACCAAACAGCTACACGTAGTGCAACACTGAAAACAGGAAACAGGGAACGCCTTACCGCCAGGTGCAGCCAATCCTTATCAAGGCCCTTCAAGGACACCAGGTGCTCCAGACAATTCTACATGAGATTTCTATTTTATAGGTACGGTGGGCAGCTCCAAAGGAGGCAAACACCTCCTGGAAGGGAATGTTTTGCATACTTCTGAACCTAAAGAAAGATTCATGGAATGTTTCTGCCATTTAAAAGTGTGTTTGGACAATAATAGTCATTGGTGGTCATTTTTAGACCTCCTCAACAGCCAATGTCTATCAATAGCTTTTATGTTTGATAGGACGGATGAGCTAATGTCGAGTCCAGGTAGTGCAGCCCTTATTCACATTTATAGAATGAAGAAGTGTGATACTTTCTAACATTTTTACTAAAATGCCTCCTCTGGTCCTATTTTGATGAGTAGAAATGAAAATATTGTCTGGTCCCCAATTTATTAGAAAGCACAATTTCTGGTGCATCCAGGAGTCAGGTCCAATGAAATTTCTGATTATAATCATCACTCTGAGTATTTCATAAAGGCTGAAGATGAAAATAGTCTCCTACACCTATCTCCTGCATTAGCTTCTGATAGAAAACAGACGGTGAAACTATAGGATTAGAAAATCCTGACAGATCTACGTCACACTCACTTAACATTCATGGACTGACCACGGGGAAGGCTGTTGTTGGTTTAGCGTCCAGGAAACAGCAGAGAACGTCTCGGCTAGTTTAAGCTAACAGTTAGCATTAGCAACTTCACCTCACGGCAGAACTCCTCCAGGCTTGTGTTGTTTGTGAAGGTAAAACATTAGTGTTAAAAGTCAGTGGTTACCCCTTCTTTCCACCGGAGCTGTCAGCAGCACATTACTGCAGCCGCACGTCTTGCTCAAGTAAGCTGCTGCTTGGCCCTTCCCACGAGACGCGAAGCAGCAGGGGAGCAGCTGTCACTGACAGAGCACGAAGTCACACGAGTGACTTCGTCAGTAAACATAACAAGTAGGAGAAAACTACAACATGGCTCCAAAAGGTTTGTGTTTTATGTTCTGTCCGTTTTATAATCGCCAATATGGACCTGAACAACAAAGGAGACCGCTAGCTAGGTGTTAACTTCTCACGGGGCCGCACAGTTAGTAACTTTTTTTTTCAAGTAAAGCAACCGGAAGGCAGTACGTTTCTTTATTCTGAAAATCTTGGGAGCTTTGCTCTGTTTCCGCATCCGATTTCCTGTCTTTCCTTCCCCAAAAATGCCAAACTTGACCCGTTTCAGAGGCGTCGCGCGTAGAAAATAGAACTGGCACGTAAGGGCCGCAACATGCTGCTCCTGAGACACGGCCAACTCGCGCTGCTGACGGCTCCGGTGGAAAAGGTTCTGTTGACCACAGCGGTTCCTATCAGCAGCTATGACGTGCTGCTGCAGTAACGTGCTGCTGACGGCTCCGGTGGAAAGAAGGGGTAAGAGTTGTGTTGCTGTTATATAATCTGGGGCGAAATGTCCACATATCAGGAAATAAGATTATAAATCCTGCTGTCTGAAGCTCAGCTGTGATGTGGGGAAACGTTTGTGCTAATGGTGCACTGGTATATTTTTCTTCCCAGAGAATGACATACAAGGCATTCGTTCCTACTAGAGATCACTGAACATGTATTGATTAGATCAGTGAACCTTATCAAAAATAACCAAACAATGGCCAACTACATATGCAACGGTTTATAAACTAACTTTTGGAGATTAAAGCAGAAATACACTAATGTAAAGACTAAACTCGGACTAGTTTACCAGTTCTATAGGATTTAAACCCTATTTATCTGAACAGAGGCCAAAAACGGGACTTCAAAAAAGTTATTTACAGGTGAAACTTGAAAAATAAGAATATGGGGTCAAAGTTCATTTATTTCAGTAATTCAGCCTAAAAGATTAATCTGAGACAGCCTCAATCCAGATATTTCAGCCTTTGTTATAATTGTGATGATTCTGGCTTAAATCTTATGAAAACCACAAATTCAAATATTAATTAGAATTAGAATATTGTGAAAAGGTTGAAAGTGTCACTCTCTGACAGTTCCGGAGCCTTTAGATGGTCTCTCAGTCTACGCTGAATTACTGGCATAAATGGGCTTTTGGACCAAATTCTTTTTTTCATCAACATATACATTTCTGAGACATTTTTACACAAGTTGAATTGATGATATTTAGTTAAATCTAGAGGCAAAAACAAACTTGCCATGGCTGTGACCAAATGTAATGCCTTAAACATTAGGCAGTGCAAACCTGATGTGTTTTCTTCTTCTCCGCTTCCCCAGGTGGATTTTGCTTTCATCGTATGGCAAAGTTTTCCAGAGCGTATCGTCGGTTATCCAGCGAGAAGCCACTACTTGGATAGTTCCAGGTCGCGCTGGGGCTACACTTCAAAGTGGACGAACGACTACTCCATGGTACTCACAGGAGCAGCGTTTTACCACAGGTACTAAAGTACTGCACTTGTTTTTAACCAAACTCATATGACTGAATTACTTTTTCTTCAGGTTTCCCTGTGTAACCTTATGTTTAAGGCTACATCTGCAGGTTTTTTTTTACAAGCTCTGAAAATAACTTCTTGCATTTGTAGTTAAAACTCTTCAGAAACGCCCACAAACCTGCAGCCAGGTCTTTTTGTGGGGTCATTAGAATTAAAAACACGTTGATCATAATTTCTTGTTAAAGTTTTGTTCTGCATCATGTTCCTTCTCTACATTGTCATCTTTCATTTTACCCATTTCTATTCCACTAGAGTAATAGAGAAGGAAACGGGACAACATAAGCTTTCTCTACTACTTTATGAAATAAAGTGTCAAATTTACAAAGAAATGGTCAAAAAAATGCAGAGCAGTGTGTTGCTCTTCAAAAGGGTTTTAAGTATCTTGTCACGCAGATAAACGGCTTTCTCTTCCATTGTTAGGGTGCTCGGTGCACCTCTTTAGTTCTTTTATTTGGAGTCTCAGATACCAACAGAAGCAGGAAACCCGAATTAAAGAGGTGTGTGTGTGTGTGTGCGCAGGCGTGCGTGCGTGCTGGAGGGACGGTAGATCTTGGCAGGGAGGTAAAAGTCCTGACAGTGATGAAGTGCTCCCATGCTGCTGAGGGTGCAACACAACAGCCATTAGGAATAGAAAAGAAAAGAATGGAAGCTGTTTAAATGGAAGAGATGCACACATAACCTCATCTGCCCTTTCCCTCTTGTTGCTCATCAGGTACTACCACTACTTGTTCACTCACTACATCCCCGGCAGCCTGCTGACTATGGTGGACCGCCTGGCTAACTGCGAAGACATCCTGATGAACTTTCTGGTTTCAGCTGTCACCAAACAGCCGCCGATCAAAGTCACACAGAAGAAGCAGTACAAGGAAACCATGATGACACAAGTAAGAGTTTTATTTGCAGATTCAAGAAGGGTGAAAGCTGTTCTAGGTTTCATCAAGGAACACTTCTGGTCTCCTGAAGAGGGTTTCGTCACATTTAAATGTTTCAGATCATGGAAACCATCCTGGCCCTGTGTGGAAGACCCAGACCTGTCTGACAACAGGAAGTAGGTTAGAAGCAACATGTCTTGTCTGTTTTAAAGGAACTCAAGAACAGATGATCACCTGGTGAAGGTGAGAGGTCAGGATTCACAAAAAGAAAGAAAATGACCTTCACCAAGTGAAACCTGCAGGGTTGGGTGTTCTTGAATTCCTCTAGATGTGTTGCTTTTTGCAATAAGTTAACCCACTTCCTGTCTGGGTTTAGCTAAACAAGGGAGACAATTTTTCCACACAGGGACAGGTTCGTTTGGATAGCTTTAATAAATGAACTGAAACATTTAATCATGACACAATGTTTGCTTTGTAGGGGACTACATACAGGATGCACTCTAAACTACTTGTGCCTAGGTGAGATTGTCAAGCTTGAAACTGGTTACGAAAAAGACTTAACCCTCCCACTGAGTGAGCACTACCTCACCCCGCCACGTGGATCTCAAGGGATAAACCATCAATCAGCCTCTACCATTCCATTCTTTATAACTGACAGTTGGAGCACACCTGTCCTGTTCAGGAGATGTTCTTTCTCTCCATTACTCACCTGCAGGTGGAGACAGGGAGGACTTCTGTAACACTATGTCCCAAACATCCCAAAGCTACTGACTGTATAAAGAGAATAAGAGCTACTAGATTCAGCAAACAGGAAGTTCTTCTGTTGTTGATCCCAAACAGACGCATGAACGTGACTGTCCTCATTAAACCCACAAAGCGAGCAGAGCCTCTGGAAACAGGAAGTGCTTGGACCAGACCACACTTATAGCTAGTTACATGGGTAACAGGCCAGTGGCTAATATGATATTTAAAGTTACTTTTGTGTTTGATTACATTACCTCTATCATTCAGCATGAAACGGTTTTAATCAATGTGTGAATTCCTGTAACATAGGTGTGTACTACTGCTGTTCAACACTTAAATCCAAATGAGAACTCACATTTCTGTGGTTCTCCAGACAGGTCAAAACTTACCCAATGTCATCGACCTGGCTAACCGTGAGTACTGCTCCAGTCAGAGGACTACTTCCTGTCTCTAGAGACTCCACTAGCTTTGGAAATGTTGCCCACCCCGGGGACAAAGCATGGTTAAGAAATATGTCTGAGACAGAGTCCAAAGGTTTATAAGGTTAGAATGAGAATATGCTGCCAGTGGAGTTTAACAAATTCTACTATTCCTGCTTCTGTTCAGACTTAAAGGTTTTAAAGCAAAATAACTTCCTGTTTGCAGAATCCCAGCAGCTTGTCTTCAGTCCGATGTGGAGATGTAAAACAAGACTTAACAGGAAATAGTTTTCAGACAGCGCTGCAGAATCAAGGACACAGAAAATAATGCAGCGTGCAATAAAAAGTATACACTACTACAGATGCTGCAGAGCTTGGCAGCAGCAGTTGTTTGTGCATGACTAAATAAGTCAGGAGGAAAACTGATACGTTAAAGCGAGGTTATGTTGAACAACGTCTTACCTGCTGTAGATCTCACGCTTTAAACCACCTCAGTTGGATTTCAGTGTGAATCAGATAAGAACTCGTTTTCGTTTCTTTAAAACCTTTTCACAGAAACACATTTGTTAAACAAGAGTATTGTGCAGAAATGTATTAAAATAAACATGAGTGTTCTTACAAGCTCACGTCCAAGCAGCAGGAAGAGAAGCATACGTGGGTTTTTCCAGCTTTATTCAGTCGTGTTCTCAGGAAAACTTTTTGTCTGCAGGACGAAAACATGATGAAGATTGTTTGTTATTAAAAGGACTTAAAAATGTTATGAGTCTGTTTTTTTAAACAAAGTTGATTAACTTGAAAGGTAGTAAAATGGTTAAACCAAAATGGCTCTCTGTGGTTGTGACAGCTGTGACGTAGATGGCCTGTTAGATCCTTGTTTAGTACGTTTTTAATCATATTACCTGCAGATGGATGTAAACTAACACCGTTGATAGGTAGGTAGGTGTGTGTGTGTGTGTGCGTGCGTGTGTGAGTGAGTGAGTGAGAGAGAGAAAGAGGCCAGGCCGATGTCAGGTTCTGATTGATAGCCTGACCACAGGCAGGATGATGACTCTGCAGTATGAACCTGGTGATTAATGTTTTAATTGTGAAAGCAGCACAGCAAACCTAGATTTGTGACTTTGCTTCCAGCAACAGCTGACAGACATTTAGCACAGAGGAAGAAAACTCTACCCAGTAAGAACAACTTAAATAAATTACCACAAACTCCATGACTCACAGATTAAAGAAAGGAAATGTTCCACCATCCTGTGAAACCATTTCTGCCACCCTCACCCACGATAGCATCAGGAAATCATCTAGGAGCCAGTTAGGACTGCACAACAACTGCTTCATGACTAACGTGGTTTTTAAATGTTGGCCAACAAGAATCTACTAGGAATGGAAATGGGACTCGACAATACAACAGATTTTGTTTTGTAAAAACTTAGAAGAAATATATTGAGATATATTCTACTCCCGTCAATCTCTGTGTGGAGTTTCATTGGTCAATTGCAGATGGGAGTCCTAAGTAAGCAGTGCTCAAAGACGTTTGGAGGCTGACTTTGGTTGTAAGCTATCGCCGGCTAGGACACATTGGACGGCCACAGACTGGCAAATCACGCTCACTGTCTTTTGTCATGATTCTGTTCACGATGAGCAATTCCGGTAGAACGGCCTTTAGAAACATGAAAACCTCAAATAAACGAGTGGGCGTTCTGGTCGGAAGCAGTGGTCAAACTTATCTTCTATACTGGTTACTCCTCAGTAGGGTCGTGGAGGGCTGGTGCCTCCACGTAGTAGTTAACTAACTCCAGCAGTCGCTTAGAGCCTTCTAGGGTTCTACAACACTGGCGCCACCGAGATTATAAAATCTTGTAACAACCTTCATGCAAATATTTGGAAGACGCTTTAGCTTTTTGTTAGCTTACTTCTGGCCAGAATTCCCCTCTCTGTTGTTTATTTCATGTTCCTAAAGCCCGAATCACACTGAGAACTCCAGAACAGCGCAAGAGTTCAGTGAGCCAGGCTGCGTGATGTCTCTCTCCTGCAAGGCACGCTGCCTGATGAGCGCACCTCTCGAAGCATACATCACTAAGCAGACCGCCAACCAAAACAAAGGTGAAAATATACAAACACTTGGTTTTAGTGTCAGCTCATCTTCCCCAAAGAGGAAGCTTAGTTTTTAAAACCCTCGCTTTGGCGTCAGACTCTGGCTGCGAGTCTCCTTTTCCCGTCTTCCAGCTAAACAGCTTATCTGTTTGAACATCTTAGGTGTGTTCTTGCTGTGTCTTTGTAAATCCATGCTTTCGTTCTTTTTTAAACACAGAAACAGTTTTGTTTACCTGTTTGTAGCTACAGTTTCGCCGACAGCTGCCGGCTTCTTCAGGCTGACGCTGATGGTGGCGCGTCACTTCCTTCTCCGTTTATCTGCGGGCAGCAGAGGACGTTGTCGCCCTCTACTGCCCGCTCTCCCCTCTCCGACGATGCAGTCCCATGCGTGGTCCAGCGTGTAAACTCCGTCGTCCCTGTTCATGGTCCCACATCCACGTCTCCTTATCTCTATTGCTTCCTTGATCCATCTTTTGTATTTTTGTTGTTCAGTGGTTATGATCCGTGTGCTGTCCCAGTCCATTATATGGTTTTCTCTTAAGCAATAAGCAGATAATTATTCTACCGGCAGATAAAGGAAGAACCACAGTAGTTATGGACAGAGAAAAATATAAACAACAGATGAAACAGATGCTAGAAGACAAAAATACATATGAAATACTTAAAAAAGATCCAACAGAAAACATTAAGAAAAACATGAAAAAATTACTGAAGCCACTGCACGAAAAAGGCAAAATAACAGAAAAAATGTACAAACACTGGATTCCCACAGCAAACATAACACCAAGAATATATGGAACACCAAAAATACATAAACAAAACACCCCACTTAGACCAATAGTTGACAGCATAGGTACACCAACATACAACATGGCAAAAGATATCAGCAGAATCATCAGCCCGTTATTAGGAAATACAGACCAACACTGCAAAAATAGCATAGAATTGGCAAAAGAACTAAAGGAAATTACAATAGAAGACATCGACATACTCATCTCACATGACGTCACATCTCTGTTCACAAAAACACCAACCCAAAAAACCATAGACATAGTAGTTAACAGAATCAGACAAGACAAAACTTTACATAAAAGGACAAACCTCACAGCAGATGACATAGCACAACTGATAGGACTGGTAGCTAACTCCACTTACTTCACATACGACAACACAATATACAAACAACTGGAAGGCTTCGCCATGGGTAACCCGTTATCAGCCACCCTGTGCGAGTTTTTCATGGAAGACCTAGAACAAAAAGCCATAGCCACCGCCCCCCCAAACTGCAAAATAAAACTATGGAAACGCTAAGTGGATGACATACTAGAAATCATACCAAAAGGTCAAACAGAAACACTAACACAACACTTAAACAATATTGACGACACGGGCAACATAAAATTCACTTATGAGTTAGAAACAGAAGGCAGCATAGCATTTATGGACATGAAAATCACCAGGCAGACCGACGGGACCCTAAACATAAACACATACAGGAAACCAACACACACAGACCAATATTTATTATGGACATCAGAACACCCCACCATACACAAAATGTCAGTAATCAGAACATTATATCACCGAGCAAACATAATAACAGAAGAGAGAGACCGTAAACAAGAGGACAAACACATACAACACGCTTTAAAGACCTGCAGATACCCGACATGGGCAATAAACAAAGGAAAACAACAAACAAAAACAGAAAGCAAAGAACAACCCAAAAAAAGAACCAGAAACCCAGAAAGACAAGAACCAAAACCAGTGATAACCCTACCATACATCAGAGGCATAACGGAAAAAATAAGAGCAACAATGAAAAAACACAACATAAACACACCAACAAAGCCATACACAACCGTTAGAAACAGACTAGTACACCCAAAAGACAAAATATCAGCTGGACAAAAATGTGGAGTCATCTACGAAATCCCATGCAAAATATGCAATAAAACATACATAGGAGAAACCGGACGCCAACTCAATACACGGACAATAGAACACAGAAAGGAGTGCGAGAAAGAGGCAAATCGTAAACACACAAGAGCAGCAAAAGAAGAAGCAGAAAGTACAATAAAAAAGTCAGCCGTAACAGATCATTGCTTAAGAGAAAACCATATAATGGACTGGGACAGCACACAGATCATAACCACTGAACAACAAAAATACAAAAGATGGATCAAGGAAGCAATAGAGATAAGGAGACGTGGATGTGGGACCATGAACAGGGACGACGGAGTTTACACGCTGGACCACGCATGGGACTGCATCGTCGGAGAGGGGAGAGCGGGCAGTAGAGGGCGACAACGTCCTCTGCTGCCCACAGATAAACGGAGAAGGAAGTGACGCGCCACCATCAGCGTCAGCCTGAAGAAGCCGGCAGCTGTCGGCGAAACCGTAGCTACAAACAGGTAAACAAAACTGTTTCTGTGTTTAAAAAAGAACGAAAGCATGGAGCTTATCTGTTTGCTGGTCTTCATCCTTCTCCTCCTTTACACACACCAACAGCAAAGGGATCTCATGTTTTTGAGTTTTATTTTTATGTTCGTGAGCTCGTCTTCTGTCGGCTCTCACAGAATCACGGTTTTAACTATTTCTCTGATGGTCTAAAAAGGTAATTTAATTATTTTAAGTATAACGCCGGTTTAACTTGGGCTATTGACAGATATAACAACTAGTGTTAGGGCTGCACGATATTAGGAAAACCTGCGATTTGCGATAAATAAAAACTTAACTCAAAAATAAAAATGTAACTCAAGAACAAAAATAATCAAAAACAAAGAATTTTAAAAAGTATCATAAAAAATGAGAAAAGCTAAAGATGTGAGTAAAGGGGAAAAAGAAAATGAACGGGAAAAGCAGAACAAAGCTGACCCAGGTGTTTGCTAACCATCAAAATTAAGTGCCGTCTGCCTTGGGGGCAGACATCTAACCCATGAGAACCCACCCAACTGGCGCAAACGTTTGAGCTGTGATATTTATCTGTTCTTTGCGATATGCATATTACGCATGCTGATAACATGATAACAATATAATTGCATTATATTGTGTAGCCCTAACTAGTGCGCAGTTTATAATCCGCATTTTAAACGTAAACTGAAACCGAAGCTCAGAGAGGCGGAGTCCCAAAGGTGTGTTTTCAAGCAGTGCTTGTAGGCTGTCAGAGGCTGATTTGGGTCGTGACACAGAGCTGGTCCACTGTACGTTCACAGGATTGTGCACATTTATAACGTTGACCAATTTTTGTCAAGATTCTGCTCAGGAAGAGGGATTTGGCAAAGACGGCCAAAAATCGCACAGTGTGATCTGGGCTCCAGGGCATGGGGACTCCCTGATGAAGACGGTTTAGCTGGAGCTCTTTTATTGCACTACATGAGTACATAATGGCAACAAAGACATTTGAATCTTTTATGATTCTTCAGTTTATGTCTATACAACCCAATAATCCTTTGATCTGGACTCACGATAACGGTTTCCAAAATGTGCTCTAGTATAATCTTGGTACTTACTTTGAACGGGCTGACTCAGAAACCTTTCCTCTCTGTTTGTCTGCACCAAGGGCTCCAAGGCATCTCGCTGGGCCGACCCAGACCACTTTGCACAGCGGCAGACGTGCATGAACATCTTTAGTCGTTGGCTGGGTTTCATGCCCCTGGTGCACTCCCAGATGAGGCTGGATCCAGTCCTGTTCCGGGACCAAGTTTCAATCCTGAGGAAGAAGTACAGAGACATCGAGAGGCTTTGAATGCAATCAGCAGTTAACTGAAGCAAGACGGAAGCATGGACAGTCCTGTTTGTGTTTAAATTAAAAGGACAACTGTGAGGTGGAATTTCAAACATGTTTTATAGAAGTTATACGTATGTGGGGAAATGGCTGTGTTTGAGAACAAGCAGATGTGTGTCCAATGGACTTCTGCAAGCATATAAAATGAAAGCATCTGCTTAATACAACCTGAGGAATGTCGGTACCTTCGGTCTGTGGAAATACCAACTGTCCAAACCACCTTTGTGGGTTTTAAATGGACTTTTTAAAACTGTGAGACACCTGCAAACCAGCCTAGTTTTTGATTTATCTCAGCAAAATGTTGCATTGAAGGGAGATGAATTTAAATGTGCAACAAACCTTGCCACACAAACATAACGTGTTGCATGGTTAATAGACTTCACTAGTAGGACGTATCTATGAGGTCACATGTGTACAGAAATGACTCACGCTGGACTAAAGTGACTAAACTGTAGATTTTGGATTAAACAACTGCTACTAACCCAAAAACTCACAGATGAAGGCATTATGCCTCTTGTATACTAATGTAGATTTTCAGCAGGAGTTCCTGTCTGTATGAATCCAATGGAAATAAAATAAAGATGCTGTTAAAAGAGATGATTGAACTTCCTTTCCTGCTCCTTTTCAATTTGTGAAAGAAGTGAATGTAGGAATTATTTCTTCTACTAACTGATTTTTTAAACGCTAGGAGAAAAGCACAACTCTTAAAGGTAAATCTTGAGCCCCCCCCCCCCCCCAGGGATTATGTATGATATTATAGAAATATGTAAAAGTGAAAGCACACGAACAATCAGTGCTCTCCATCCTCTCTGCTCAAAAGAGAGTCCATATAAATAATGTAATATAGGTTGACACCGGATCTATGGGCTCCCCCTTAGCTCTTTTTTCTGTCTTCGTATTCAGAGCCCCAACCACCTTGGCTTGTAACCGCAGAAGGTTGTGTTGATGTTATGGCCAGGAGAGAGAGTGTCTTGGCTAGTAGAAGCTAACCATTAGCATTAGCAACTCCACAACATGGCTTAACATGTTAAGGCTTGTGTGTTTGGGGAGATTTGACGGTAAAATAAGAGCGCGCCCCCTCCCGCTGTCTACGATCGTCTGTCTCCGGTCTCCTCTCTCCACCAAACCAAAGCATTGTACAGCCGGGGAGAGATGTTTAGCCAAAGCTGCTCCCAGCCTATGGAACTCTCTCAGTCCTGAAATTCAACAACATGTTAAAAACTGACCTCTTAATCAAGTATTTAACCTTCATTCATTCATTTCAATAGTTGTATCTATTGTTTCCTTTACTGCTTTGCTTCTTTTTTTATAAAGCATCTTAAATTGTTGTGAAAAGTGCCATATGAAACTGATGTATTATTATTTTCTCACTCACTTCCACAAAACTATGCAACTCGGTGCATTAATATAATAAATACCAGATCTTTGTCAGCTTAACACACACACAAAATGGCACATCACATTTGCCCAGGAGAGACTGGAGCGTGTGTGTGTGTGTGTGCATTTGTTTACATAGAAGCTGATGTGTTTAGGGCTGCTTTGCACCTTTCAGCGGAGGCTTACAGCTAGTAAGTAGTCCCAAGTCTAAAATGGTGCCTGTGATTCCTTTATGTTACTAATTCTTTTCACTTGTAGTCGGTGTGATTATTTAGGTCACCGAGCAGAATTGGGATGACTACTGAGTGACTTGAAGGATATTTTTTTTTACTCACAATGCTAGTTGGATCCATTCACTTATTGTGTTTTATGCTAAGCTAAAGCTAAAGGCGTACAGCCGGGTCAGGAGAATTACTGGGCTGGTTAAATATAGTTTTTTCTCCACTTATCCAACTCTGGAAAATACGTCAGACAAAATTTAATTTTGAGGTGGAACATCCCTTTAAGACAATCTGTCAAAATCAAGATCGGTAAAGATGAAAACAAAAATAAATGCAGTTTCCATTGCCCATCGCTTTCATTTGTGTTTAAACAGGACAAGACTAATCACCAGCATGTGAAGAATGCGTTGCTGTGATATCGAAGCTCTACAGATAAATACTCTTCATCTTGTTTAAGTAGTGAATGGACTAGAGGTCAACCGATATTGGTTTTTCTTTTGCCGATGCCGATATGTAGGAGAGGGTCAGCCAAAGGCTGATATGTATTGGCGGTTTTTATGGGCCGATATCTAAATATTTTCCACCTTATTTTCATGCTAAAATTTCACTAACATCAGTTGATGCACAAAATTTCTGAAATTGAATTCGTTTTTTTAACTCTGAATTTAACTAACTTTAAAATTCTTTGTACACCGCTCAGTGTTAGTCAGACACCTAAATAAAGTTAATTTAGCGTATTTATTCTGCAGATGTTATTAGTGACCAAAAACTACATTTACTTTAAACTCTACAACACCACGGGGGTGCCCGAGGGTGTGCCTGACTTTAAATCGGCTTTAGTAAGGACAAATATTGGCCAGTGTCGATGTACAAAAATGGTAAATATCAGCCTGACATGTCAGGCTCTCTCTAGAATGGACTGTTTCTTTGTTCTCATTAGAAGCACTAATGTGAGATACTACATTTTATAAAATTTGATTATTTACAGGCAGATTTTTAAGCTCCTGAATGCACTGCTGGATTTTCCACAAAACCATCAGCTGTTTTTTTGCTAGAATTCAACAGCATTTATGAAACATTTGACATTTTTTTGAAGTTTTGTGGGTCCACTATATAATAAAAGAAGTCCTTTTTTGGGCGAAAACATGAAGATTGTGTTTCTCCTAAATCAAGCAGTAGTTGTGGTAAATGATCTCAATCTTTACCTAAATAATCATCAATATGATCCCAACTAAGTCAGACTTAACCACATTTTTGTTTCATAAAGACAGAAATCACCATAGAGGACTTTTTAAAAATCTTGAGCCGAAAACAGAGGCTTGCGGAACATATATGTAATAATAAATGTCTTAAAATGTGCTCCTCCTAGCTTTTGTTTATCCGATTCATTTAGTCCGTGTACTTTCCTGGATAAATAAAACTAAATCTAATGGACTAACAATGAATCTTTCTGACATTTAGGTTAGAGTTCCTGCTTTAATTATTGGGGTTTTTAAATGAGCTACTCTCTTCAAAGGTAAGCCAGTATTGTGTGCATGTGTTGGTAAAGGGCTAATAAACCTGCACAAACTCCTGCATATTCATTCATTTGTCTGCATTTGCACAAACTGAATGAGTCATTGAAGCAAAGACTGCACAAAGCTGTCACTAAGGAATCCAGACTCCATTAATACCGGTTTTCCAGATTTTCAGGACGACACACGAACACGAGGTCCTTCTTTATGCCAGAGAACGTTAAAAACCTTCGTCTCCACTGTGATCAATACAGGTCAGTGTTACTCAGTGGATGTGATCATCCATGCTCTCCCTCAGGAGGAAAGCAAACCGTTTTATTTTTCATCATTTGGCCGTATTGGACATGAACATGGATATGTGGATGAAAAAGGAAGTCAGCAGATGGAGGGAAAAAAAACACCAGGGGAATTGTAAAAAGCACTGATGGCTTTAGGTAACAAAGGAGAGAAATACGGATCTCCCAGTGGATCCAATAAGATGTCAGAGATAAATGAAGTCGTTTTATTCGAGTATTGAGTAAAGCTACATCAGAGCCTCTCCAGGCCTTTTCACATGAAAACTGACATGAAGGTTTAGTGTGTTTAACATAAATAGATAGAACGTCTTCAGGACCATATGAAATTTCCTTATGTTCAATACATGGTGTCAGTGTGTTGCAAGGGTTTTAATCATCCAACAAAGATATACTTATAGGATGAACTTATAGGATGTTGTAAGAGCGTGTTTCTTTCAACTTTGGCGCTTGGTTTGCCTAAAGCCAAGTCTGAAAAGGGCACATTTAGAAACTGTGGTACATGCATTCATCACCTCACGACTGGACTATGGAAACACACTATTGGTCGGGACTTAAGCTTCAGCCCTAAATTTTCTGCAGATTGCGCAAAATGCTGCAGCACGATTTTTGACGGGCACTGACCAATGTAGCCATACGACCCCGGTTTTGGCGCACCTTCATTGGCTACCAGTAGCATTTAGAGTGGCATTTAAGATCCTGCTGTTTGCTTATAAAACTTTGAATAATCTGGCACCGACCTACTTATCCGACTTACTCACACCCTATGTGCCACTGTGTTCACTACGTTCAGCTGACCAACTACTGCTCTGCACCCTGAAAATGTGCTACAAGTCAAGGGGGAGCGAGCATTCATGTATGTAATGTGTGTATCATGTGTAACGTGGTCTAACCTGCCACAAACATAACAAAGGCTACTGCGCAACAGGAGGAATATCCCACATCCCTCTTGCTGTGGAGTAAAACTGCTCTGGGATGTAACGGCACACAGATCAACCATTCTAGCTGCTTTAACTGCCAGAATGGGACCGGTTCCACAAAGATTGGGCATGTCTCCATCAACCTCCTCAGGCCAGACTTATGTCAACAAATCATGGAGCGGTGTCTCTTCAGAGCTAAAAGAAGTAAAAACTAGGCTTCAGAGGACAAGACCCTCCTGCCCCCTCTACCCCACACCTGTGCCAAGAGACGTCTTTAAGGGAGTGAACATGAAAGGGACAAAGAACCTGGACCACTGTTGTGGACCACATATTGCCAGGTAGGTCTGCAAAGCTTTCTTCCCCTAATAAATAAAATATTCGTTTTGGATTAACTCAGATTACCTTTGATAATGAAATTTGTTAAGATTTTAAACATGCAAGCGAGACAAAAAAAAAGCACCGTAACATAAAACGAAAGTTTCCGTACTCCAAGAGCAACACAGAGCAGTAATTTCATTTACAGCCCTTTCTCTGGCATGAGCTGCTCACTTATTTACCACTCTAAATCTCAAATTGTAAAACTTTACTTTTCTAACTTTTCTGACGTACTGAAAGAAGAAAATTTTTAGCATCCATAGTTTTTTCTTCCATCAGCCCTGACAGCCGACCTCTCCTCCCCTTTCATCTCACGCTGTTTTTTAAAGCCGTCAGCATCCATCTCATTCGTTACAGCTCTATTATGCAGCGACGCCTAAATAAAACACACACATGAATAAGTCATCTGTGTGACTCATGAAGTTCAGATAATTATTCATTTCTTCGTGAGAAAGGACCTCATCGATTCGTCATGACCCTAAACAGTTTCCAAGGTTATGAAATGAGAAATTGATCGGCGCCGAGCGATGATGGAGAGAGGAACAAACTCGCACAATATCCAAATATTCAAATCTCTCTCTGCTCCATTTTTCTCTGCGCTGCTGCTCCTCAAATATCCGTGACCAAATGGACTTATAATTGGAAGTCAGGGGGCCCAGAAATACTCCTTACCTTCTCCCAGACACGTCTAGATATTAGTTTTGGTGAGTTACAGGCTTCATATAAGCACAAGGGGCGAAGATGAAGGAAAGAGAGTCATTATGTGGAGCCAGTGTTTGGAAGGGACTTAATAATTTCTCTAATTTTCTCCTTCTTGCTTTAATGTTTTTCTCTTTCTCAGATGCTCCAACATCTTTTCACTCATCTTTTGCTCCTAAAGTGTTTCCGTAATGCC